CGCAGATGATATCCTGTTAGCCTTGTCCTCCCCTCATATCTGCCTTCCCAATTTATTTCGTACACTATCGGATTTTGAAGGGTTTTCCTGTCTGCAGGTGAATGAGACTAAATCGAAAGCCCTGAAGTCCGCTCCGGGCCTTAAGCAGGGGCTAGCCCACCCGAGGAGCCTATGCATAGGTTATCTTGGTTTTATTAGATTTCGCACGGGTTCATGAGTGGGAGGTTCTTTGTTTTCTGCAGATGTCATATTATGTCCAGATTTATGGTGATGCATTGCACTAGCTATTATATGACTGTCATGCTGTAACCCATCAGTGCACCGTTCTAATAATGTACCGTGATGTTTTTTCCCACATGCGCCTTTTGGCATTGTTTCCTTGTGGATGGAACGTATTTCTGTTTCTGTTTTTTCCTAAATAAATAAAAAATACTTGTACAAGAAAGATCTCCCACTTCCTCAGGCCTTAATAAGGATAGAAAGATTTGAGGACTCAAATTACACAATCACTCGTGTTTAATTGTTTCCTGCATGAGAAATTAGGTATGACAAAGATCATTGTACAGTATTAATAGGTTAGAATGAATGCCCACCCACTGTGTTTGCCAAATGAAATATTATGTACAGGTTCAAACTATGTAGCATTGTGTTAAGAGAAGAATAGACTCAAAGTGATCTAAAAGGATATACATTTATTTAATAGTTTATTTAGCGTTACAAAGGAAAAGAGAAATGGTTACATACAAAAACAAACTAACTTTTCGACTGGGTTGGAGGAACCGCCACATACTCTCAATATTGATGACCTAAAGATGATGTGGGCATTGCGCCTATTATACTTTCCAGGTAACATGTAGCATGCATTCCTAACCAGTTACAACTAAAACAAACAAGGTTCTCAAACAATCACGAAAGCATAGTAACTAAATATCTAAAACTCTTCAAACTCATCCTCAGAGCAGCTTGATGTCTTATTACTTCAAAATGAAAACTCATCCAACCTCCAACCATCTGTAATCTGTTCCACTAGGTCAAGGAATTAAAATTGATGGAAATGCTGAGTGCTAGAATAGATATTAATCCATACATGTTGAATGAAGAATGGAATCCTTCACACACACACATATACTGTACTGTGCACACGTTTTTGGCAGATGTGGAAAAAATGCTGTAAAGTAAGAATGCTTTCAGAAATAAAAGTGTTAATAGTTTATTTTTAACAATTAACAAAATTGAAAGTAAATGAACAGAAGAGAAATGCAAATCAAATCAATATTTGGTGTGACCACTTTTTGCCTTCAAAACAGAATAAATTCTTCAGTTCTTCTAGGTACACTTGCACACAGGAACGGCAGGTAGGTTGTTCCAAACGCCTTGGAGAACTAACCACATAACGTCTGTGGATGTAGGCTGCCTCAAATCCTTCTGTCTCTGCACGTAATTCCAGGACAGACTCGATGTTGAGATCAGGGCTCCGTGGGGGCTAAACCATTACTTCCTGGCAGGGCAGCCATCACAAATTTTGGGGCCCCTTACACGGCTTTAGGCTGGGCCCCCCACCCCGC